ATCTCATATCACAGGCAATGTATACCGGATTAATTATATATTAAAATATAATGTATACAATGTTAAAACTTTTAAAGAAAATATTTGTGTAACTTTGTGAAGAGAAATGGAAAACAGAACAAAAAATACAAAATAAACAAAAACCTGAAAAACGATGATATTGTAGTTAAAATCCTCCCCTGCCCCCACCCAATTAGGTATCAAACACCTAGCCTTTCAAGGACTACAAGGGCTACCATGTAGCTGCATATACACCCCCTTCTTTATTTTCTTGAGGGGTGTTTTTCCTGGATATGAAAGCTGGTTTGACTTATTTTTCTTCTTTCACTCTTAGTCAGGTTTAGCTCTACTGTGACCAAAATATCTGACACAAACATTAAAGGAGGAAAGGTTTATTTGGGCTCAAGTTTATAGAAGTTTCAGTCCACATTGGTGAGCTCCACTGCTTTCTGCCTGAGATGAGGCAGAGCATCATGGGAAGGGTGTGGTGAAAGAAAGCTGATCAGCTTAGGAAGCTAGAAAGGAGGGAGGGAGAGAAAGAAAGAAAAAGACAAAAAGGGTCCAGGGACAAGATATATTTCCCGATTGATCTACTTCCTCCAGTCATGTTCCATCTATCTGTAGTTTCCACCTCCTCACAGTAGTCCGTTCAGATTACTCATCAAGTGGATTAATGCATTGATGTGATTAGAATCCTCATGATCCATTCACCTCCCAAAAGCCCCACCTCTGGACACGGCTGCATTGGGGAACAAGCCTTGAACACAGGAGCTTCTAGGGGATGCTCCAGATCTGCACTATAACATTGACCATTTTAAGAACCTCACTGCAATTGATACCTATTGTTTAGGCATGTCCTTGCTCCCTTGTAGTAATGTGTTTTTTTCTCTGATATTTTCAAGAGTTTCATTCACCTTTAGCTTAGTCTTCATCAATTTTCCTATTCATGATCTTCATGGTTTTTTTTACTTGGAGTTTTTTAAACTTCTGGAATCTCTGAATTGTTTCCTTACTAAATTTGTAAAATGTTTGACCACCAGTTAAATAGTGTTCTGATCATTATCTCTCCCTTCCCCTGCCTCAAACATTCCCCACCTCCCCATCATTACTGGGTCTGAACCCAGGGACACTCCATCTCTGAGCCACATCTCTAGTCCTTTTTATTTTTTGTTTTGAGACAGACTCTTACTAAGTTTCCAAGGCTGGCCATGAACTCAAGATCTTCTTGCCTCAGAGCTTTTGGGATTACAGGTGTGCGCCACCATATCACCTTCATTCTCTGTCTTCTGTATTTCTGTATATAAATAAACATGTTAGATTCTTGGACCTTTTCATACAGATCTCTGAAGGTCTTTTTTTTTTTTCATCAGTAATCTTTTTTCCTTCTTATTCTTCCAATTGGATAATTCTGTTTGATTTAATTTCAGGTACACAGATTCTTTCCTCTGTTTTGATCAGTTTGTATTTCATCTTATTCAGCATAATTTTAATTTCAGAAATTACATTCTTCAATTATAGAATTTCTATTTTTTCTTTTTTTCCTTTTTCTCCCCTGAGATTGCTTAGCTTTATATTCATTCCAAGCATAGTTATACTATACTTACAAGCATAGTATACTTTACTACTTTAAATTTTTTTCTGTTAATTCTAATATCTGATTCATTTTTGAGTTAGCCTACATGTACTACCTTTTTTTTTCTTAAATTAGAATGGAGCACATTTTTACCTGTGTTTTTGAATGTCTAATAATTTTGGATTTTATTCTAGACATGGCAGACATGATGCTGTGAATGTTGTGTTATATTCTTCTGAACACTATCTTTTAAAATTTTTTTTGTTATAATAGAAAATTAGCTGGAAAATTAACTTTGAAATTAAAATTTCAAAGTTTGTCTCTGGGGACAGCTGAAATTTTGGTTCAGCATTTTATTCTTAGTTATTTGGAGTCTGATCTTCATATGCTGATTCAGGAGTCAGCTGGAGATATAGATGGAGTCTGTATAGAGAATTTTTGGGTCCCTCCTTTGGCTTTTTTTAAAACAGGGTTTCTCTCTCATTTACCTGTTGCCATGCTTGCTCAAGTCAGTCTTCTTATTTTGGGGGGACCAGGAAGCCAGCAGTTTTCTGATCCATTTGGCGTTTTCATCAGGGTACAGACTTAAGCTTCCCTTCTGAGTCAAAGCTGATAATGTTGGCTACTTCCCCACTGTTGTTTCATTTCTCCACGTATTGGCCCCTGCAAAATATCCCTGCTCTCTTGGTCATTCTCCAGTGCCTTTGTGGGTTTTGTCTGTCTTTTTTGTTGTTCTTGTTCTAATTAGTTATATGTAACAGTAGAAGGTATTTTGACACATCATACATGAATGTAATATAATTTCTTATTCTTCTGGTTGTACATGATATAGAATCACACCAGTCGTGTATTATATATATAATGTCCGATTACCCTCCTACCTCCATGTTCTCCCTCCGTTCACTCCCCTCTGTCTAACCTAAAGTACCTCTTTTTTTCCCTAGGTGCTCCCCGCCCCTGCTCCCTCTATATCAGAAAAAACATGTGGCCTTTGGCTTGTTTCACTTAGCATGATAATCTCAAGCTCCATCCATTTACCTGCAAATGCCATAATTTTATTCTTTATGGCTGAATAATATTTCATTGTGTATATATACACCACATTTTCTTTATTCATTCATCTGTTGAAGGACAACTAGGTTCTATAGTTTAGCTATTGTGAATTGTACTGCTACAAACACATTTATGGTTATGTCACTGTAGTATGTTGATTTTTTTTTATATAGCTATAGATAGACACAATACCTTTATTTTATTTATTTATTTTTATGTGGTGCTGAGGGTTGAACCTCGCATGTGCTAGGCAAGCGCTCTACCGCTGAGCCACAACCTCAGCCCTTGTAGTATGTTGATTTTTTAAGTCCTTTGGGTAAGACCAAGGAGTGGGATAACTGGGTCAAATGGTGGTTCCATTCTGAGTTTTCTGAGCAATCTCCATGCTGCTTTCCAGAGTAGTTATACCAATTTGAAGTCCCCCCAGCAATGAATGAGTGTACCTTTTCCCCTACATCCTCACCAACATTTATTGTTGCTTGTATTCTTCATAATTGCATTCTGACTGGAGTGAGATGAAATCTTAAAGTAGTTTTGATTTGTATTTCTCTAATTGCTAGAGATGTTGAACATTTTTTCACATTTGTCCATTGATTGTATCTCTTCTGTGTAATGTCTACTCAGTTCCTTAGCCCATTTATTGATTGGATTATTATTATTTTTTTTAATGAATTGAATTTTTTTTAGAGAGAGAGAGAGAATTTTAATATTTATTTTTTAGTTTTCAGTGGACACAACATCTTTGTTTGTATGTGGTGCTGAGGATCGAACCCAGGTCGCACGCATGCCAGGCCAGCGCGCTACCGCTTGAGCCACATCCTCAGCCCCTGGATTATTATTTTTTTGGTGTATGTATGTATGTGTGTATGTATGTTGAGGTTTTTTAAGTTCTTTATATATGTTGGGGATTAATACTCTGAGGTACATGTGGTAAAGATTTTCTCCTGTTTTGTGGGCTCTCTCTTCACATTATTGATTGTTTCCTTTGCTGAGAAAAAGCTTTTTAGTTTGAATCTGTCCCATTTATTGATTCTTGGTTTTACTTCTTGCACTTTAGGAGTCTCTTTAAGGAAATCAGTTCCTAAACTGTCATGGTGAAGATTTGGGTCTATTTTTATGTAGCATTGCCAGTCTAGGATAGGCTTTCTCATCTGTACCTTAATGAGGACCTGAAAGCATTACTTTTTAGTGCATAATGTATCCTGCCAACACTGTCATTCATTTCTACGAAGAATAGGTGGATTAGAGTAAATGAACAGTCTTATTGAAACAAATGAAACAAGGTTAAATAAACAAAGAAGCAGAGATTGTAGGACTTGGTCTTTTGCATTATCTGAGTAGGTGTAAATAATCAAGACATGGTTTGAACCTTGAAGACTTGGACTTGTTGCCAGGAGTGGTGGTGCTGTGATCCTAGCTACTGAGCAGGCTGGGGCAGGAGGGTCACTTTAGCTCAGGAGTTCAAGACTAGCCCTGGCAGCATAGGGTGACTCCATTGCAAAACAACAGCAAAAACCAAACAAAAAGTCTTTCACTTGGGAATACTTTCTGACTGAACCTTAATATCCTGCAGAGTTGACAACATGTATTTCCTTATGCATCATTTTTAATGAGATAAATCAATAGATTTTAATGTTAACAACAAAAGAAAACAATGATGCGATATCACATTCTGCATTGCAGTTAATCTTTAAGAAACTATTTTGGGCTGTTGAGGTGGTGCAGCCTGTGATCTCAACCACTGGGGGAGGCTAAGGCATGAGGACTGCATATTTAAGGCCAGCCTGGGAAACTTAGCAAGACTCTGTCTCAAAATAAAGGATAGAAAGGACTGAGGATGGAGCTCAGTGGTGAAGTACTCCTAGATTCTATCGCCAGTGTCCAAGAAAGGAAAAATATATAAGAAAATTATTCATAATAGGCATTCTCTTCAGTGAATAATATTTACAAAGTTATCACAAGGTAAGCACTTTAGTAATTAGCAAAGTTTAGGGTCCACATAATTAAGTCTAATAATGTTACAGAATAAATGGCAGATAGTATCCATTCAGTAAGGCAAGTACAGAAGGCAGAAAGTTGGGGGGCGAAAATGGGAAGAGGACGAGAGAAACAGTCCTCTTACCTTAGAGCAAGGTGAAGGACCAGTAGACAATGGAATGAACATGTGAAAGTGTTGGTATCCTATTGAATATGATAAACTAACATCCCTTGGTTGTCATTTTTACCTGAAAGCACCTACTCATAAAACGTCATCTTCAGTTGCTTGCTTCACAGTTATTTAAGACTAAATATTTCTTGAAATAATTTGAAAATAATCTACTTACTAAAATACTGAATGTGCACTAAATTTCTTTAATAAAATGTTCTTGCTCAGGTCCAGGTCAAGACCTCGACCACGTTCCCACAGTCGTAGCAGTGAGAGGTCCAGTCACAGAAGAACCCGCAGCCGTTCCAGGGATCGAGAGAGACGGAAAGGCAGAGACAAAGAGAAGCGGGAGAAGGAGAAGGATAAGGGCAAGGACAAAGAGCCACACAGCAGCAAACGAGGGTGAGTGGGAGTGAAACCCAGTAGAGAGGGCTCAGCGGTGCTGGGCAGCACACAGGCCGAGTCTTCCTGTTCTACGGCTTTTTCCTCTTCCCACCCTTGCACTCGATTACTGTCAGAGAAGAAGAAGACAGTGACAGAGGATCTGCAGAGAAGGAAGAAAGGATAGGAAAATTTAGCTCATGTTTTTGTGGCATGCGTCTGTTTTCATTTAATAACAATACATCTGAGAAGCAGACAACAAATAACAGTATCAAAACTTAATATGTAAAGAAAAATTTGCATAATTCTTTAGGAAGATTCCACATCCTGTTCCTTTATCATGAATATGTATTTAAAATTTGAAGACAACTTAGTAAAGATATCTAATAACTTTCAGGAAAGGTGTTAGGGGAAAGAATAAAGGTGAAACAGTGAGGGAATCATGTGGTTTAATTTTTATTGTAGAGTGGGATTCTGGGCAATATTATGGTGCAGGTGTGTAGATGTGTATTAGATCATTAAAACAGTGATACTGGTTCAGTCCATTTGGAGGCTGAATTCTACTCATTACAGCTTGTCAAATTAGCAAATGTTAAAATGAAACTAAAGTGTTATCAGCTTAAGTTTACAGTTTTCTGTTTGTTTTATTCAAAATTGGCTTTGGGGTTTTTCAGTCTATGAAGTAGGACATTTTGGAATTTATCTCCCTTCGTCAGTCTTTCAACATCTTACGTGAATGAGTTTCCCTTAGTGGTTCAGTGTGAAAGTACTTCTCTTCATCTGTTTTCATGGTTAATTAAACCAGGATCTGGGATATAGTTTCCTGAGATCTTAATTCTGTGAAGAATTTTTAAGTTTATGAAAGTACTGGATGTGAAGCTTTTCCTTCACCCTGGTTTCTCAGTCGTCTGTGTGTACGTGTGTTTCTACATTTACAGTGACATTATAGAGTGCTGGCTTTTCAATATTCTTTGAAACATTTAGAGTGGAAGTTTGAAAGAGGAGAACCTTATTATGTGATTCTGTCTTTTCACAACCATGAATGCACATTGAGTAGTTGTAATCTTACCAGAATTCTGAGTTCTGTACTAGTTTTAAAGGTTTATAGGCATGTTATAATTATACATAATAGTGTGTTTTATTGTGACATATTCATACATGCACATAACATAACATTTCATTCCCTACTTCCTCCCATGACCCTCTTCCTTTTCTCCCCCTGATTCTCTTCCTGCACTCTATTGGTCTCTATTTTCATGAGGTCTGCCTCCCCTCCAACCCATCCCACCTCCATTTTTTCCTCTCTAGTATTCACATACGAAAGAAAACATCTCACTGTTGTCTTTCTGCGTATGGCTTATTTCACTTAAAATTATGCTTTCCAGTCCTATCCATTTTTTGAAAAAATGACATTATTTCATTTTTTTGTGACTAAATCAACCTCCATTATAAATAGATATCACATTTTCTTTATTCATTCGTCTATTGATAGACACCTTGGCTGTTGAGAATTGTGGTGTCAGAAATATTCGTACATGTGTATCTCAATAGTATGCTGTCCTTTTCCATTCTTTTGAGTACATACTGAGCAATCAGAGCTGGGTCATATGGAGGTTCCATGACAAGTCTTTTGAGAAACCTCCATACAGATTTCCTTAGTGGTTGGACTAATGTGGAGTCCTACCAATGTGTATGAGAATTCCTTTTTTTTTTTCTTACAGCTTCTCCAGCATTTATTGTTACAGTTTTAATGATTATTTAATGTTATAGTAGAAGAGATAGGTGTTATATGTCTAGTTCTAAGGATTTAAAGCAGAGTTAGAGATATTAGAACAGAGGGAGAGCCAGGAATCATATAGAAGAAGTCTCTTGGTAAACAGAGAAAGTTATTAGAATAATACATGTTAAGGGTAGTTGCAGAGAGAGTTTGACGCTGGAAAATATGGATTAAGAGGATGTCTAAAATCAAGGCTGGGAACAGTGATACACACCTGGAATCCCAGTGACTCAGGAAACTGAATTCCAATGACTCAGGAGGCTGATGTAGGAGGATCACAAGTTCGAGGCCAGCCTGGGCAACTCAGGGAGACCCTGTCTCAAAATAAAAAGGGCTGGGGATGTAGCTCAGTGGTACAGTACCTCTGGGTTTATTCCCCAGTGTGTGTGTGTGTGTGTGTGTGTGGCGGGAGAGTCAATCAGGTAGCTACCTTGCTGCTTCTTTAGATATTTCTTTTAGTTTAGCTTTTAGCTATTACATGGCTATGAGAAGTGAAACAGATTTTTACTGATCACTAAATTTTTGCTTCCCAGTTTTATTAAGTTTTCCAGGGTAATACTTATGCAATGGCATAGACTTGATTGGGAGGATTTAAAAGGTAAGAGAAAAGAGAGAGTGTGTAAGAAGCTGGTCAGATGATTTCCGGAATGGGCTTTTTTTTTTTTTTTTCCTCTTTGTTTGTTTGTTCTGTGGTACTGGAGATTGAACCCATTGACCCATGTCCTGTGATCTGTTTATATTTTATTTTGAGATAGGGTCTTGCTGAGTTGCTAAAGCTGGCCTTAGACTTGCTGTTCTACCTCAGCCTCCCAAGTCGCTGGGATTGTAGGTGTGTTAATCAGTAGTCTGGTAATAATTTGTTATTTTTAAAGCATACATGTTTATTTCTTAAACCTGATTCTAGAAGCCAGTCACAACTCATATTCTTGTATTATTCTGACCATCTGGTGTACATTAATAGGTAATAAATATTGGTTACCAAATTTATTTGTTCACTTTTAAAGTCAATGGTATATAAATGCTGTTGTTTGTCAGGTGGTGTATTAAATATTAGGGACATAATGTTAGTGCTAGAACTACTTGGAGCTTTTATGAAAATGGTAAGACAAACATACATAGGAGGGAAGATATGCAGGTAACTCTGGTGAAGTCAGATACATGTTTTGGTAGGGAAGGCAAAAAAAAACTGTGGAAACCTCATGTTAGTTAGGATTCTATTGACCATCAGTAATGAAACCTAACTAATAATAGCTTAAACCTAGGGATCAGTGAACTTTTTGTGAAGTGCTAGGTAGTAAATACTTTAGGCTTTGTGGGCTATATGGCCTCTGTTGGGGCTACTGCTGAACTTTACAATCATGGATAATACTAAACTAACAGGCTTTATTCTAGTAAAACAGTATTTATAGAAACAGGCAGCTGGCTGGGTTTGGCCCAAGAGTTGTCATTTGTTCATGTCTGGCTTGAACCAGGGGTGCACTTACTGCTAATTAATAAGCAGTGTGGAGAGTAAGCCACAGGCCATTCTCAGCATATTGGCTTTTACGTCATCTTGAAACAATTCTGATTGCAGATATCCCTGTGAATGTTAAGCTGCTTGGTTTGGATTAGGCCATGTGTCAATGAAGGGCTCTCAGAAGTGATGTGTACATGCTGAAAGGAGAAAGAGAGGGGGGAAGAATGCTCCATGAGAAATGAACTTCATATGGAAAGACTTGACAAGCAAGCGAATATAGCATGTTTGGTCTTCAGGCAGTGGAAATTTAGTGACATTTCAAGTAGAGGAATGATGTAATCCAAGTCTACTTGGGGTATGAACAAAATGCTTGACTCATAGCAGAGGTTATAATGATAAGCATCTAACATTCTAAATGTATTTTCTCAGTATCAGGAATTTTGCTAAGCAATTGACACGAGTTATCTCAGTTAATAACTTCATGAAGTAGGTGCCCTTAATATCCTATTGCAGTAGAGGGTACTGAGGCTTGTAATCACAGAGCTAACAAATGGCAGAGGCAGATTTTCAGCTCAAGTTGTCAGATAGCTGCACATTATCCTCAGTTCTCCTTGATTATTGACTTCGAGAATGAGAACCTGTCATTGGGAAGACTGGTTCTTCTTTTTTTGTCCTTTCTCTTCCTTTTTTACTTTACCACCTCTTTCTTTCTTTTTTTTTTTTTTTTGAGAGAGAGAGAGAGAGAATTTTTTTTTAATATTTATTTTTTAGTTTCCGGCGGACACAACATCTTTATTTGTATGTGGTGCTGAGGATCAAACCCAGCGCCACGCACATGCCAGGCAAGCGCGTTACCGCTTGAGCCACATCACCTCAGTATATTATCACTTTATTTGAATTATACTTAATTTTATTCACAATTTCTAGGTTTTCATAAAGTTTTGTTTTAGTGATGGTTTCACCAACCATGTCCAGATGACTTTGAAACAGTGTATGGGTGGAGAGAGTAGATTCACAAACATTCTAATTAGGACTTATGTCTTGGTTTGTAGTGATTATTCAGTCCTGTGACAAGCATTTTAGCTTGTGCTAAATGTCTAAGTACTTCTTCACATGTGAGAAAATTGCCTGTGCTTCTTCCTGCATGAGGATCTTTGTTGTATCAAGTCATTGTGAAAATGTCAATATTAAATATTTACTGATGGAATGTAAAAAATACATTTTAAAGCACAGAGAAAGAAGAATAAGTACAGTAATGATAAAACATCATAAGCAGCCAAATGCTTACCAGTCATTAAAAAAATTATAAATTGGGAAAAATAAAAATGAGAGAAAGGAGTGTTTAAGCAGCAATGTGCTAAATACTGAGGAGGAGCTTTTCATTAGACATTTGAGGTAAAAACACATAAAATTAGATAATTCTTAAAAGTGTTTTTCAGATAGTCAATATAGTTCTGAAATTTTCTATAGCATTTGAAAAATTATAATTTGTCTTATAATGTCATACATTAATTGACTTATTAATTTTTTGACTTGTTCATTAAGGACTATAGAACATCTTTTATAAACTTTGAAAAATTAATTGTTAATGGATATTTGAAGAGCCACCAGTGATATTCTGCTTTTTATTCTGAAATCATAGTGTCATCCTTAAGATAGAATTTTGTATGTATTTTATTATTTTATTTTTATTTTTTTGCAATATTAGGGATTGAATCCAAGGGCCCTTTATCAATGAACAATACCCTCGGCCTTTTTAATTTTATTTTGAGACAGTGTCTGGCTAAA